GTCACAGTATAGGGAGAGCAATTAGGGTCACAGAACAATGTATGTATACATTTTTGTATGGGAGACTAACTTGAACTGTAAACTTTCACTTAAACTACAACAATTGAAAAAAACAAAGTACATGAGGGGGAAAAAATTCTTTCATCAATTCCTATGTTTTGACATTTGGGTAGGGGTTTGCTTTTTATTTTATTATTTTTTGGTTATTGTTTTTTCCCCTCTTGGTTCTATTGTAAACAACCCTGCAATGAACATTTTGGAAACTAGGGCTATTTGTTATCAAGGTTCATTTTGCTTCCACCATAGGTGACAACACATGTAGGCAAGTAGACACTACTCTCATGGTCAAGAACTATGAACTCCCAATCTCTAAGATCACAAATACTGACAAAAACCCTCAGCAAGTTCAACTCTGAAACCATCTCCAAAAGCGCAGGCAAAGGTAAAGGAACTTATGTGGGAAGAGTCTCTAAGGACTCCTTTGACTGCATGAAGTTTAATTCCTACCTATGACTTATCACGTCTTTAAAAACAAAACATTTACGGTATGAAAAATAACTGCATATTCACGAACATGCATGCATTATTTTGTTGTAGAAAAATGTGTTATGGATATAAAAAATGTCTTTAAAAATCATAAGCCAATGCTAAATCTTAAAAGACAGAATTAAAAAGACTAAGAAGTGAAAAAAAGAGGAGTTTATTTACCTAACACCACTTTCTTCCTTTAGAGCTTTGAACTCTAATATTCTGTTCTCATTTGGTTGGTTGGTTTTTGAGAGGGGTTTGGGAATTATATAACTAAGATGAAAACAAGAAGTTACATAGCTTTCAGGTTAAATAGTACTTCATAGCAAGATAAAAGCTTGGGTCCTCTCGTCTCTTGCTACCTTAAATCTACATATTCTACAGTTTCAAAAGTAAGAACTTTTGATTATTGAACAGGGACACAAAAATATTTCTATGTATATTTAAATCTGTTTTAATTTATGAAACAATGACTTAAGACTCTCCTACAACAGGGTGATAGCTTTGTTGCACAGAATACCAGTTACCAGCTGCTGCTGAGTTGATTCCAAGTCATAGCAACCTCATGTTTTACAGAGTAGAACTGCTCCATAAGGTCTTCTTGGTGTAATCTTTAAGAAGCAGATCGCGGCATCTTTCTTCCACAGTGTCACAGGATAGGTTTGAACCGCCAATCTTTAGGTTAGCAGTCCGAGCACAAACCATTTGTCCCACTTAGGTACCTTGCACCATCAGGGTTATTCACTGTTCTTGTCAATATTTGTGATTTTAGAGATCGGGGGTTCATAGTTCTTGACCATGAGAGTAGCGTCTACTTGCCTACATGTGCTGTCACCTACGGTAGAAGCAAAATGGACCTTGAAAGCAAATTTCCCTAGTTTCCAAAACATTCACTGCAGGGTTATTTATAATAGAACCAAGAGGGGAAAAAAACAATAATGACAAAAAAAAAAAAAAGCAAACACATAATGTATTATGACTGCCAAATACTAATAAAACCAATACTCTATAAGCAAACTTTTTAAAATAAAACTACAATATTACCTTTTCAGTATGTTTGCCCTATTTTAAAAAGGAAAGAAAAATGAAGATAATGTCTTACAAAAGCAGCAGATTCGGGAAAGTGATAAAGCTGCTGGAATGTACTAATTTATAAAGACTGAGTTCCAAGTTCAAGACCCAAAGTAGGTTCTCCATTTCTTGCCTAGATGCGTCTTCAAAGGCTACATAGCTTTGCTTCTGGAGCAAAGGTGCTTCCCAACATCCACCAGGTGAAAAAGGGGAATAAATGACTAAAGCTGCAAGTATCAAATGCAATTCTAATGCTTTGTCCCTGCAGCAATAAAATAAGATCACTGCAGAGCCAATATTGCAATGAAAAGACTACAACATGATAAAGAGCAGCCACAAAGAATATTTTAGTGGGACCTGCCATACATATCAACCTGAGGAACATAATGCATTGTTCTAACATATTTACGATTACCCCAAAGCTAGGTATGGTTCACTAACAAAGCTAGGAATGTTTCACCCAGGCATGTGGACTTGTCCAGTAAAAGAACCTCATCTTGGATTTATTCCAAAAGAGGCTCTCAAATGCTCAGCAGTAACTCCTGAAAGGAGGCCAGTCCAAATGGAGTGGGATAAATCCACCCGCAAAAGCGGAATTTCTGATCATAGCCACAGGTGACCCTTGCTGTGAAGTCAGAGGACAGACACAAAAACAAATTTCTATAACTGTCTACTAAATTTAAAAATGCAAATGTTAACACATATGCATTATACTCTTAGTACAAAGTGGCAAAAGTTTAAAACCTCAATGTAAAATTAAAATAGACACTGGGTCTTAAAAAAACTGTCTGCAATTTTTGAACAATGAAACCAGACTGCTAAAAGTGAAAAACCATGAATATTCCTTTGTGGCTACAGCAGTAGTTACACAGCATACTGAGTTACAGAGGCTATTTTAAAGTATTATATCTGAAAAACAAGTCTTCAGAGAAATTTCTAATAGACGCCTCTTACCTCATAAATGTTGGGGTGCCACATTTTGGTCAAGAATCTGAAGGTAGGTGGTGAATATGGGTAGTCAATAGGAAATTTAATATGCGCCTGAAAAGAAAAAGTGAAATGTTAATCAATTTATGAGACTACTAATTATTCATCTGCCTAATAATCCACCATATTACACCCCAGTGAAGCAAAGCTCCTTTCTATATTTAACTCATACAAGTGAAAGGCAGTACAATGTATAGGTATGCCTCAATGTTAAATTTTATTTTTATAATAAAAAAACTATTAGCATAAACTTATGTAGAATATATAGAACAAACTATTTTTTAACCTACATAATTTAACCATCATTCCGTAACCCAGAAATAATAAATGTTAACATTCTGATGTAGTTTCTTCCAGTGGCTTTTTGGTGCACACATATACTTATTTACAAAACTTATTTTAAAAAATTTGAACATACTCCATTTTGTATTCTGCTTTTTTCACTTACATGATATCATGAACATTTTCCCATTATAAATAACTTCTACAGTAAATGTCATAGCACTATCCCATATTTCAAATATGAAGAGATCCAGGAAAAAAGGTTCATTTAACAGTACCAGTAAGACGACGGGAAGAAGGGGCTTAGAGGACAAGAGAAGAGTAACTGAGGTAGGGAAATCAGTGAAAATGACAGGCTAAGGACCTCTAAAAATTATCTCTGCCATAAATGCAATAAGAAAAGTGGCAAAATTTGCCAACTTTTTCAGAACTCTAGGAAGTAACCAAACGCTTGCAGCAATCTAGGGAGCATGTATTCAAGAAAAATGGTTGAACCTCCATAAGAACAGCAAGCTTTGTGATGTTTTAACTTGCCCCAGGCCCATCCCCCACTCTCTGGAGTTCTGCAGTAGACTTCAAACTAACAGCTTACACTCATAGTGAAAACCAGCAGCCAGGCAGCCACTGGGAAGGACAGAACAGAAATGAAACGTCTTCAAAGCTCTAATCCCAGAGAACTGTCATTATTTGACCTGTCTGGTGGTTCTGGCAGAAGACCCCACAGGCAAGACTATCTGTATTTCACCGGATTTGGAGCACTTTTCCTGAGAGTATTTGTCAAAAACAAAGACAGGCAATGGTTTAACTTCACAGCTACCTAAGGTGGTGAATAACAGTTGGGTGAAGTGACAGACTAATAAAAAAACTGAAAAGGAAAAGTTGGTGTATGAGATGTCAGTAAGGCCTTTAAAAAGTTCTGACATATTCCTAAGAATCTAGAAGACCACGTGCACATGTAAGGCCATGCACATGCCCAAGACTGTGCATGCTCAGGTCCTCTGGCTGACTTTGGGGATCTGTGCAAGCAAGAAGTGAAGACTAAGGCAGAGTTCTTAAATAAGTGGCTGAGTGATGAAGGAATGCCCCAACATGCACATGAACCTCTCACCAAAGCTCAGTGGACTTACTGGCTCTCTGTCCAATCATAAGCTGATCACTAAGCTAACCTAGTGGAGACTTCAGTGGTCACACATGACAAAAACTACAGACTTTACAGAATTAATTCATAAAAGTCATTAAACAAACAACCAACAACAATTACAACAAACAGCAACAACAAAAAACCCTGGGAAATGGGGAAAATCTGATTTCCACAGGTGCTACATTATTTAAAACACCCAGTTTAACAAAAAATTGTGAGACATGAAAAGTGACAAGTACAGTCCATACACAGGAAAAAAGGCAATCAAGAGAAACTTCCAGAGGAAGTATGGATATTGAAGTTACCAGACAAATTTTAAGTATGTTCAAAGAAATAAAGGAAACCATAGTAAAAGCACTAAAGGAAAGTATGAGAAAAAAAGGCTCACCAAATAGAGAAGATCAATAAAGAATGAGAAATTATATAAAGAAAAAGCAAACAGAAATTCTGTAGTTCTAAATTACAGTAACTGAAATAAAAAAACTCAATCAAGGGGCAGAACAACTACAGATTGAAGCAGGTGGAAGCAATAATCAGTGGACTTGAAGACAGGTCAACTGAGATTATCCAGTCTGAGGAATAGAAAGAAAAAACAAAGAAAAATGAACAGAGCCTCAGAGACCTGCAAGAAACCATGAAGCAAACCAACATACGCATAATCACAGTCCCAGGAGGAAAGGAGAGAAACAAAGGGGTAAAAAGAATATTTTAAGAAATAATGGCCAAAAACTCAACAAATTTTATGAAAAACATTAACCTTTACATCCAAGAAACTCAAAAACTCCAAGTAGAAAAAACTCAGAGACTCAGACCTAGAAAAATCATAATTAAACTTTCAAAAGCTACTGGCAAGAGAGAAGCCTGAAAGTAGTGAGAGAAGCAAATCATCATCACATATAAAGGATCCTAAATAAACAGAAATCATGTACGTGAGAAGGCAGTGGAGTAACATATTCAAAATGCTGAGGAAAAAAAAACAAAAATTCTACAGCCATCAAAACCATTCTTCAAAAATTATGGAGAAATTATACAAGGTCAAAAAACAAAAATCACCTGGGTTTCTATACACCAGCAGTGAGAAATATGAAAGAGAAATTAAGGAAACGATTCCATTTACAATAGCATCTAAGAAAATAAAATACCTAGGAATGGGATGTGAAGGACTTAGACAATGAAAATTATAACACACTGCTGAAAGAGATTAAAGAAGACTTAAATAGACACATTGTAATTGTTACGTGCCACTGAGTCGATTCCAACTCATACTGACCCTATGTACAACAGAACAAAACACTGCCGGGGGTCCTGTGCCATCCTCAAAATCCTGGGAAACACTATATAACAAAACTTAGTAGTTTTTAAATTTAATAGACCAACCCGGGATACTTTAAAATACAGTAAAGCAGTGCCAAAACGCTCTAAGTGGGGTCTAAAAATTTCAAGCTTAAAATGCCGAGCCACATTATGAGGTTAAAGAAATGACAAACTGCCTGATGCAAAGAAAAGAGCCAACTGCCAATCAAATTTTATCCAAATTTGTATTATCCAAGGATTTCACTGTATAACAACACAAGTTATATATCACTTGTGCTCTGCTGTTAAAATATTGAACTTGATCTTATTTTTTAAACTTATTATAATCAATAAAATAAATGAGAATTAAAATTCTAATATCAAAAGCATTTAATTAGGAAGAGTATTATAGAAAGCTAGATGCCTCTTTCTGTTCTATCTTTGTATTATATACGTTTTTATTTTCTATTTGTTTGGACTCCAGAGCTCAGCATTCATAAATGAGCAAATTATGACTAAATAAAACGCCAACCAATTAGCTTTGAAATCTTAAGCAGGTAAAGTAGCTGAAGTAGTTACACAGGTATATGTGTTCACAGCTGCTTCCTTTATAGACTCATCTCCTAGCAGTCAATTAAACTTAAAACATCTGCATTTCACAAGTAATATAACTGAATATATCTTATTAAGAGCTGAACAATGTGGGAGAAGACTTTTTGATCACTCTACGTTCAGTTTCTAGTCCCCACACTACAAATATTTTCCGTGACTGAAGATTCATAAGACCCAAAGGCAGATATTTCTTTCACCAAAAAAAAGGTCAGGAAAGTTCCCAAATATTCATTGGAACTCAAAAAGAAAATATTTAGGGTATTCCCAAGTACAATTAAGAAGTCATTAAGTAACAAATCACGTGTTGGTTTCCAAATGGTGAGGAAGCAGCACCAGAACAAAATGAATACAAACTTAAGGTCAACACTGTGGACAAGGTGGTGGATAAAAAAAGCTAAAAATTACTTCTTAAAACTTTAATTGTAAAAAAGCAAACAAAAAAGTTCATTTTTCCACCATTCATTTACTTGTTCATTCAAAATTTTATTAAGCACTTCTAAATCTCAGGCTAGGTACTGAGGACCCACAGAAGAAAATAATCACACACACTCCTTACACTCTAGCAGAGTCAGAGTCACTCATATAACTACAACACATACGATATGTTACATGGGAGCATGAAAAGGAAAGTGGTTTATTCTGCTGGGCAAAGTCAGGAAAATCTTCATTTGTTCAACATCTACTGAATGCCTACTACATATAGGTAGTGTGGTTAGCTGTTGGCTGAGCAGTTCCCTGGGTAGATAAAAGCAGAGGAAATAGCATGAAGGCAGTAGGTACAGAGTAACAGCTTATACTAAAGGTACTGAGTTGTCAGGTATGGTTAGTGCAATACTTGGTATTAACTATGTACAGAAGATAAAACTGGATAAAGGTAAGTTGAAGCCTTAAGGCATTTGGACCATATCCTAGGTATTACTGGGAAACTAAGGAGCCTGGGTGGCACACAGTTAAATGCTCAGCTACTAATCAAAAGGTTGGTGGTTTGAACCTACCCAGCAGCTCCGTGGGAGAAACACTTAGCAATCTGCTCCTGTAAAGATTATAGCCTAGAAAACCCTATGGGGCAATTCTACTCTGTCACACAGGGTGGTTATGGGTGGAAAATCGACTCGACAATACCTAACAACTAAAAAATTTTAGTAGAAAAGTAATGACAAGATGTATATTTTAGAAAAATGACTGTGAACATTTCAATTGTTGTCAGAGAACTATATAACCTTTTTAAAAGGAAAAAAAAGGATGACATTGAAATCAACAGCCCTGGCACTCTTTGCCAGTCAATAACTGCCTCACCCAAGTAACCATTCTTCCACAGCTGATCTAAGAAGCCTGTGCAAAAACTACCAATCCTGATCAGCAGTTTGCTCTAGTTGGAGAGACTGACTGACCAGCAAATAACTGACTTTGGTGTTTCTTTGGTTCAGATTCTGTAGCCATTAAGAAAGATGTGGTAGACCTATACAGACGAACACAAAAAGATATCCAAAGACATGTTAAGTGAAAAATGGCAAATAAAGGCAATTACACCTACTCCTCATTTATCTGACATTCGCGCATTTACGATAATAGTAAAAAATCACTATCCAACTATTTTGTGCATTAACAAGGCAGCGGGCATAGCAACAACGGCTGCAGAGTGGCCCATCCCTTGAGGGTCTTAGAGAGGCCTCCAGGAAGCTGGGTCACGCTGCCCCACACCCTCTGCTCCCTCTTGCCAGTGGCC